GTGGATAGGTGGGAGAAAGGACGGACAGGTTAGGGAGGCGGGGATGAGCTGGGCTGGTATTAGGATGCGGTCGGGGGTGGGAAGATTTTGAAGCTTGTGAAGTCCACATTGGGCTGCAGGGTTCCCAAGCAAAATAGGAAGTGCTGTTCCTGCAACCTTCAGGTGGCATCGTTGTGGCACTGGAGGAGGCCCAGGATGGACATGTCGCCCAAGGAGTGAGAGGAGGAGTTGAAGTGGTTCGCGACTGGGAGGTGCAATCATTTGTCGCAAACCGAGCATAGGCGTTCCACAAATCTCCGCTTGGTTTCCCCGATTGTAGAGGAGGCCACATCGGGAACAGCGGATACAGTATACCACATTAGCAGATGTGCAGGTGAACATCTGTTTGATGTGGAAGGTTTTCTTGGGGCCTGGGATGGGGGCGAGGGCGGAGGTGTAGCACTTCCTGCAGGGAAAAGTGCTGGGGGTGGTGGGGCTGGAGGGGAGTGTGTTGCTGGTCTACTTTCTGAATTGTTTTTCCTATGTTCTGCTATTGATACAAAATGTTCCTTCAGGTACAAAGTTTGGAGAGAGTATGTATAATGTTTTTCTTTATTGCTTTATGGGAAGTGTAGCGTTTATTGTCCATTTGTGCAATCATCAGCAAGCATCTCTACTTCAGCCCTTATGATGCAGAGGTTATTGCTGAAGCAGTTGGAAGATTGTGTCCAATGCCAAATTCCTTCAGAGCTTCTGGGCTGAACTGATTTTTATTCCAAATTTGTATTGAATTCAAATTCCAGCATTTGCCATGGCAGGATTCGAACCTCGGTCACCAGGACATTGCCTGGGTCTCTGGATTAACAGTCCAGAGATAATACCACTAGGCCATCACTTCCCCTTTAATAGCAGGCCTTTTCCTTTTGTTATCTTATCAGCAAGTCTGAACAAACTAAACATAAGAGGACATCTTTGGGCTTCTGAGGGTCATGTTTTACCATTTTGATGTTTTATAACAAGTTTGACAGAAAGCAAGGACCAACTTTCTATACTTAACAAGAATTACTATTTATTACAAATGAATAGATTTTAGCTACCAATAAACAAATATGAACCATTGATATGAACTTTACTAGTTCTAACCCATTATAAAATTCCTCTTATGCGTAGACAGACAAACAAAAAAATGGGTGTGACAGGCAGAGGGAAAGACTAGGAAGGCAACTCATTGATGCCTGTCTGTAGGGTTCACTGTGATGATCCTTTTTGGATTGTCAGGACTTGCTGCTCTTCAATCTTCATTCTTCAGGTACTTTTGCTTGCAGGAGGCACAGAGTGACTAGTTCACACTTATAAAGTCGCTGACCTGTTGGCTAAAGCCATTGGTTATGGCAATTGACGAGTGAAATCATATGGCTTTTTTCAGGCTTGAGGTGGCCTTTACAGTAGAGAAACAGACAGCTCCTTATTTTTCAGACATCTAATGGCTTCTGACCAAATCTTCTCACCTATGAGCTATTCAGCCATGTGGGAGCCAATCACATGGTTGTTGGCAGGGAAAAGACCCTTGTCATACAACTGGTTGCCATCCCACTGAACAATCAATCACTTGTTGCAGGCAGGATCTTGTTTTGTGCACGCTCCCTGGTGTCAGTTCCTCAGCAACTAAACTCTCGCTGCTGCTTGAGCAAACAACAGTGTAAACAGCACTTATAATGAATGTCAGTAACCTGTTTTTAGAAAATGGGATAATCATTCCCACAATCCTTAGGTTTAATTCAGTCCCTTCCCCATTTCAGTCCACAATTTAAAAATATAGAAAAAAAACGCAGTCTTTACAATTGCACTTCTTTCAATTCCATATTTTCTATTGAGTTCAAGTTTTATGCACACTCATTACCACTGATGCACAATGGTAGCAGTGTATTACCATTTACAAGATGCACTGCAGCAACTCACGAGGTTCCTTTTGACAGCTCTTGCAAATACATGACATCTGCCACATGGACTATACGTATGGTAACACCACCAACTGCAAGTTCCCCTCCAAGCCACACACCACCCTGACTTGGAAATATATCACTGTTCCTTCATGGCTGATGGGTCATAATCCAGGAGCCCCCTCCCTAATGGCACTGTGGGTCTTCCTAAACCTCAAGAAGGCAGCTCGTCACCACCTTGTCCTGGGCATTTAGGAATGGGCAATAAATGGTGTCCCAGCCAGCAACACCCACATTCCATGGACAAATTAAAAATTAAGACATAAAAAACAAAAATTGCTGGAGAAAGTTGGACCTAGTAATTTCTGGAGTGAAAACAGTTAACATTTTGAACCCTGGATCTGTTCTAAAAAATGGTTACAGGACTTGAAATGTTAACTATGTTGTCTTTCCACAAATGCTACCAGACGTGCCAAGTTTCTCCAGCAATGTTTGACTTTCTTAAGATTTGTAATAACTGTTATTCTTTGTTTTATTACTACAGCTTCACTATTGTGTGGGGACAGCCCTCTTTCGTCCTCAGATGTTAGAATGATTTTGCGTGTTGGACTAGGCTGGTTGTGCTTCCAAACCTGATGTCCATGTCAACATTTTGTATTTCATCTGAGTTTATTCTTATTATAGCTTTTCACAGTAGTTTGGTACAATGGAATGGTTTCTTTGTCATTTGAGAGCGCGATTTTGAGTCTGTCACATAGCTGTGGATTTGGATTCCTTTATATATGCCATACCATATAAGGACATTAGTGAGCCATGACAATTTGGTCGTTTTATGGTCACTATTTTAGTTCTAGATTTAGTAAATTAACTGCAATGGTGATATATGAATTCCTGTCTCCAGATTATTAGTCCGGGTAGCTGGATTACCAGTCCAATAACATAATCACTGTACTACAGTACCGTGTTAAATGCCATCATTAGACCCACTTTGCAAAAATGGCTGTTGAAAGACGGATCTCAGTATTGTGACCATTTCAGATAAACAGCTCATCTAATTCATTCTTAGGAATAGCTTGTGTGTCACACGGCTTTTACTTTGAACATGATACTTGTAAAAAGGTGGAGTTAATGGGTGTACCCATTATTGACACACATACCTTGAAACAGTATCACTCTAATTAGAATGCAAATTGCAAAACAGCTTGCCAGACTTGTTTTAAAAAAAAATTCCGGTAATTCCCATTTAGCTGAACCTTAGCCTTTTTCCCTGAGGTATTAAAACTGCCTATTAGCTCGTGCTTCTGGGTTCGTAAATATTTAAAATAAAAGTGAACTCTGTGTTTCTCCCCAATGTCTCTTCAGTAGAGATGCTGCTTGACTTATTGAATATTTCACATGTTTTCTTTTGTTATTTCAAATTTCCGGCATTTGAAGTACATTACTCACGTTGTGGGAATAAATATTTATGTTTAATTCATGCCTTTTCTTCAAAATTACTTTTCTTTTGCAGTAAAGAAACAGACACTGACAAGTGCTACCTGAAAGTTTCCAGAAAAGATCTGCTACTCATTGAGGAGTTCTTAGTACTGTGTGTGGACATCATGAGTGACCTTAATCCTGAAGATGCAAGCCCAGCTGTGAATGAATTGTGTTGGGAGTGTGGTCAGGCCCACATGGTGGTAGAGAACCACTTGTACGACTATCAAGATGAGGTGGATGATGAATTAGTTTGTCACATTTGCCTGCAGCCCTTGCTGCAGCCTTTGGACACTCCATGCGGCCACACGTTTTGTTTCAAGTGCCTGGAGAATTTCCTGCAAGAGCAGGATTTCTGCCCGATGGATCGTAAGAAGCTTCACTTCCAACACTGTCGTAAATCCAGCCTTCTGGTGCGGAACCTACTCGATAAGTTGATTGTTTATTGCCCTTTTCGATTGGACTGTGGGAAGATGATGCAACGCTGTGAGCTGGACCCACATCTCCGGAATAGGTAAGTGGTGTGTGCTCCAATTTCAATAGGAAGAGAAGCAAGTGGTTCAGTTCAACTAGCTAATGCAAAAATTAATAACGAAATTTAGAATTTTCTGTGTTTCCCCCGAAAGCAACAGTAAGGAGTGAAACTAATTGAGAAAGAATAAGCTAACCTTTGTATGGCAACATTTTCATATCCTTGGGTTAAGTCAAATTCCTCATTACCAAAGTACTTTTGAAATGTGTTCATGAAGACAAACTGAACAGTTCATATATATCACAAATGGGATTCTGTTTAATCTCCACTGTACCACTCCATTAAAAGATAGCTCTTTAACTAACCTCTGATTTATGCCCACTCCAGTAATTTCTCCTTTGACTTGGCATCTATTTTTTTCCTTGCCTCTGACATGTAATGATACAGCTTTCTAATAAGAACTCATGCAAAAACAAGAGTTTTCTCTTCTGTAGTCATCTCCCCTGACAGTTCAGTGGATAAATGTACTGACATAGAATCAGAGTTGTACAGCCCAGGAAAAGATCCTTTGATCCAACTTATCCATAATCCAACTCACCAGATATCCTAAATTTAACCTATTCCATTTGCCAGCATTTGGCTCCTATCCTCGAAATGCTTCCTATTCATGTACCCATCCAGGTGCCTTGTAGCTGTTGTAATTGTACCAGCCTCCACCACCTTCTCTGGCAGCTCATTCATAGACGCACCACCCTCTGTGAGAAAACATTGCCCCTTAGGTCCCTTTTAAATCTTTTCCCTCTCACCTTAAACCTACGCCCTCTAGTTCTGGACTCCCCAACCCGGGGGCCATCTGTAACACTGCGTCATGTGTAGCAGAAGCTCCTAGGTAGAATTTCCTCTGCATTGAGTGAGCTAATCTAATCCAGGGAAGCATTTGAACGCTGCATACAGTCTCCATGTTTTTGGTTTAACCTACTGATTACAGCTGAAGTATTTACAGGGAAATGGTAGGTGAGTATTTATTATGACTGTAGTGGCCATTATGGTCAAATATACTGTTGTTTCGACCAGCCACTTGGCAGTTTTTTCCATTATTCATTCATGGGGTGTAGATTTTGCTGGAAAAGGCTTGCATTTATTGCACCCTTCTAATTGCACTTGAGAAGATGGTAGCCATTGAGTCACTGGCAATTATGGAATCATACCACATCAAGTGTTGGTGCCTTTAGATGAGATTGGCCTAAAATAATAAGTGCACCAAGCAGTGAGTTACAACCAATTTTAAACATTTTCTAATTGGTCTGAAATGTTAGTACGTACCTCCTGGAGCATGTGGGAATTGATTTTGGCCCTCCTGGCTCAGAGATAGGGACACTACCATTAGGCCACAGTAGCCCTTAAGCCTACTGCACCAGACAGTCTCTCCTCTAAGTATTAACCAGGCCTGAGTCATTTTAGCTTCTGAGATCAGACTAGATTGTGTTTTTTGCTACGAGTGTGGCCGTGGGCAGTAACCACTTTATACTGGCATTTAGTTAATAATTATTCAGGAAGTCTGCCCTGTTAACTCATTCCTGGTATTTAAGTTGCTCATTTTTGATGCATTGTCTCAATAGTAGACCAGGATACACCTTTCTACAATTCTGCTGATAGAGCCAAGTTTAGAAGGGCAAACATCAGGAATAGGCTCATTTGTATTGGTTTTGCAAAATTTCAACGAGTGCTAGTTTAGCTATAGAGACAATATTTTGCATCTGATAGAAACAATAACTATACCTTCCAAAGTAAGAAGAATTATTGGAAATATTAACTTGAGCTTAGAGCATTAAAATTAAACAGTTGGATTTCCCTGGTCCGCACCAGTTCTGAGTCAGCTGCCAGGCGCCAGCTGAGGCCATCTGCTCATTGCGGAAGGACGACGGCCCAGCAGCTGGTGCGATCCATAGGAAGGGCCTGGCACGTACAGAGTTGCCACCAGCCCCCAGGAGGGGGTGGCACCTCATCCAACCGTGGCACGTACCCAGCCCCACTTCGCACCCCAGCCCGACCGACCCAGCCCTTAGAGCCAATCCTTATCCCGAAGTTACGGATCTGACTTGCTGACTTCCCTTACCTACATTGTTCTAACATGCCAGAGGCTGTTCACCTTGGAGACCTGCTGTGGGGAGGTAATAGTATTATCGCTGGACTATTAATCCTGAGACCCAGATAATGTTCTGGCAACCCGGGTTCAAATCCTGCCATGGCAGATAGTGGAATTTGAATTCAAAACTATCTGGTATTAAGAATCTAATGATGATCGTGAATCCATTGTCAATTGTTGGAAAAAACCCATCTGGTTCACTAACGTCCTTTGGGGAAGGAAACTGCCATCCTTACCTGGTCTGGCCTATATGTGACTCCAGACCCACAGCAATGTGGTTGACTCTGAACTGCCCTCTCGGCAATTAGGGATGGGCAATAATGGGCAAATGCTCTTATCCTATTAATGAATTAAAAAAAAATAAAAGCAGGTATAGTTTATGTAGCCACTTGATGTTTTTCTATTCAATTGGATCTTGACTCCATTTGTCCAGCTTTCCTCCATGTTCCTTGATGCTCTTACCTAACAAAAATATATTCATCTCAATCTTAGATTCTGAATGAAATATAATTTACAGCCTTTTGGCAAAGGGGGAAGAGGGAAATTCTTAGTCACTCTGTGGTCTGTGACTCTCAATTCTAGTAATCTCTTCCTGCTGTACTTGCAGAAGTCAATGCTTTGGCACACCAATCAGCATGCAGAGTACCTCTTGAGCTGCTGCACAATCCACACAGCTTGGAAGAAATGTGGCTGGGCATCCTAATCTATTTTCTCGTCTTCCACTCTGCTAATCATGTGTTGCTCACAGAGTCACTATTCCTATTCTTTGGAAATCTCTGGCCAGTATTTTCCTTTTACTCTGCCAGTCTTTTACTATCAATTCATTTTCTTTGACTGTGCCTTCACCCCTAACCATCTCCATTGATCCTCTTTCTTCCCTTGCACTGTATCCACTGCTCTGTCCTTAACATGTAGCCCCAAGATATCGTATTGCGTTAATTTTTTGTCCCTGCCATTCCCTGGCCACTGTTTCTGTCCCTTTCCCTGGCTACGGCATGAGGTTGACCCAATCTACTAACAGCTTTGGTGTCATATTTTACCCTGAAATGAGTTTCTGACTACACATCTGCACCATCACATAGAATGTTTATTTCCAAGTCCATAACATTGCCTGACAGTGGGGCAGCTCAGTTCATCTTCAGCTGAAATCCTCAACTATACGCTTGTTATTTGTAAACGTAAGTATATGACATTGCTTCTCAGGCTCCAACATTCTACTCTCATTATGTTAAAGTAATGTAAAATGCCTGTTGTTTAATTTGCACCAAATTCTGTTCACCCATCACCCTGTACTCATTGCATTACATTTGGATCCTTTTTAAGTCATGCCTTGATATTTAAAATAGTGTTCCATGCATGGCCTTGGCTCACCTTGTGTCTGTCACTGCCTCCAAACCCACCACTGCCTTTTATATTTCTGAGCATCCCCAATTTTAATCACTCCACTGCCCTGCCCCACCCCCCCGCCACTGGGTCCTAAGCTCTGGAATTCCCTTTGTAAACTTCACTGCCCTCTCTCTTGTATGATACCCCAAGCTTTTTGTAATCTACAATATGGGGCGAACTGTCACATTTCATTTGATAATACTGCTGTGTAGCATCTTGTGAATTTTTATCACATTGTAGGTGCAATGCAAATACAAGTTGTTGCATAGGACTGCTAACAAAATAACACTTTGTTATTGTTTTTTTTTATAGGCTTCACTGGTCAAAATTTGTTTTTACTCTATATGTGGTTGTGTAACCGTGATCTTATTCAAGTTAGTTTCATGCTTTAAAGACTATTCCTATTTCAGACAGACAACCTCTTGCATTCTTCCTTTGCATTTGATGCTGATCTCCATTATAGTGCCAGGCTATGGTATGTGATCCGGAAACCTGATTGATAAGAGCAAAGAACTGTGAATAAAAACATAGCAACTTTGCTTGGGGCTTTTCCTGAAACAGCAAATTCAAGCTTGATGCTATCTTAATAAGACCATCATTTTTCAAGATGCAAGTGCAGGGAATTGTACTTATCTGGTTCAAACAGGACCTTCTGTAGTTTGAACTACAGAAATAGCAAAATATGAGTCTGCTATTTGTAATCAGAATTGTAGCTGATGGCTGGATGTTGTGCAGCTGTAGTTCTTTCATTGCAGAAGTAGTTTGAATTGTGCATTTAAAGAGCAATTTGCCAGATCACTGCCAATACTGTGAATTCCATGGATAAACCAGGGCATATTTGCCTTCATAAAGTCTCATGGCAAGTTGTGTACTTTTTCAGTCAAATCATAAATCATGTTATTCTGTATGAGACAAATACACACTTTTTTTTCAGTATTTTGAATAGTTTAATATTATAAAAAAAGCAAGTATTTCATCCCCTGGAAGAATTTTTAACAATAGGCAAGTTTGTTCTCTGTGGTTCCTGTTTTTTGTACATAAGAAATAGGAGCAGGAGTAGGCCATTCGGCCTTGCAAGAGTGCTTCTCTAGTCAATAAGATCACGACTGATCTGCACCAGACCACGACTCCTCTTTCTTCCCAACTCTTCGTGGCATCAACCCTCCAATATTATAAAAATCTATCTACTTCTTCTTTCAGTGTTCTGGCCTTACAGTTCCCTGTGGTAGAGAATTCTAGACATTTACCACCCTTCTCATCTCAGATTTTCTTTCCATGTAGCAGCAAACTTCACAGAGCAATTAGGGATGGGCAATAAATGCTGGTCTAGCCAGCAACACCCACATCCCATGATTAATTTAAAGAAAAAAACACTTGCTTTCCACTCTGCACGCATCTGGAGGACATATTTTCTTAGACCAGCATTAAAACATACATTTTACCATCTAGTTTTTTTCCCCACAATTACAAAGTAACCCATTCCGAAACCAAACTTTGTGGTTCAAACTTA